TTTTTTCTTTTTGCTTATGTGGTGCTGAGGAATCAAACCCAGGGCCTCATGCATGCAAGGCAAGCGCTCTACCACTGAGCCACCTTCCCAGCCCCCTGACTAAATTTTTTAATGGGATATATATATATATATATATCTTATGTTATTATGGAGTATTATTTGGCCATAAAGAATGTAATCCTGCATGGAGTATTATTTAGTCATAAAGAATGTAATCTTGGCATTCTGTCATTTGCATTGAAGTGACTGGAACTAGAGGACATGATGTTAAGTGAAATAAGCCAGACATCACACGTCTGTCCTCAGAGAGATAAAGGGAGGGAGGGAAGGAGGGAGGGAGGGAGAGGAGAAAAGGAGGTCATATAAAGCATAGTATGTGCATGTATAAAAATATGGTGAATTCTATTTGTACAACTAATATGCATTAATGATTATGATAGAAAAAATTAACAAATAAGACTACAAGTACATAATTACTCATACTTGTTAGATATATTTCATTTTTCAAAACATTTTTGTATATAATAAGTACATATTATTTTAACTCGCAGTTTAAAAAAAACCCAAATGCATTGCACTCACCTAATTGGATTCTGCACTGGTAAAATTAGACTATATTTTGGCTGGCAAATAAACTTATTTCATAACAGCATTTTTATGAGCTTCATTTTTACAAAGCATACTAAATTGTATAATATATAGAAATTGCTGGAAAGTACAAATGAGAAAATTCAAACACCATGTCTCACAATCTAGGGGGCCTTAGTTAATGTTAACCTTTTGGAATATGTTCAATCTTGAAAACTGTCTGGATGGCCATAATATGCATAAGTGTGTACATATGCCAAGCACTGGTGGCTTACTCTTGCCTGTAAACCTAGCTACTCAGGAAGATAAAATCTGAAGGAAATAAATATAAACAATGGGATATTGTGTATTTTATAATTAATATGTCTTTACATGTCCATATGTGGAAAACAGTTCGCAAGAATGATTGTGAATGGCCTTGTAGAATATTTTGGTCAGATGCTAATCTGCTAGTACAGCCTAGTTTGCAGAGATACAGGAATTTTATTAGCTGTTTGAAGGGAGACAAGAAAACCAAAATGTTGAAAATGTATTTGACATATTTGTCTATCTTAGTGAAAGGGGTGTGCAGGGTACAGGTTTTCAGAGTTGTATTTTTTTTGTTAATTCTGGGACTACTTTGTTTAAATGTTGCAGTGTCATAAGCCTGAATGGAATCAGATGCTGTAGCACTGAAATGTGTTGCTGGTGGGATGTGGGACCTTAATGACTAGGGGCCAAGAGTTCAGGGAGGAAGGGTTTTGAAACATTTAACAACCAGTGCTTTTCCTGGTGGTGACAGGCAGCTAGCTACTACGCTTTTCTTTCCAGCTATGATTCGAATGGGTTAAACTAGGAATGAGTGCATTCTAATTTTTGACATAAAACTTTGTTACCCTGAATGCATTTCAGTGCACATGGTATCCTTTTAGGAGTTAGTAAAATGTGATAGGTAAAAGAGGGCAGAGTTCTGTGTGCGGCTGCAAGTATTTAAATTCTGACTCTGGAGAGCACATGTCTGGTCTAGGCCAGACTGGGCTACCTAGTGAGGCTCTGTCTCAAAAACCCAAATTATGTCTCTGCCATTTATTCATCCCCTTCTGTGCCTCAGTTTCTTTTTATCTATAACATAGTGTGCATAATGATACTTCAACAGTATAAGTCAGATTTATAAGTATACACATAAATGTCTTGTTATACTTCTTTATATATTTCTTAATACAACATATAATTAACTTACTTGTTCATTATTACTATCTTTTTCTTCATTTGCCTAACTGTAAAATAAGTACTGGAATTGTTTAAAGCAAGCAGTATTACAAAGTAACTGAAATTGTAAGAAGGAAACTTCTTGTTTGAATTTACATATTTTGATATCTCAAATATCGTAAAATTTTAATTCAGATTTATCCATTTCTTTCCTTTAGTAGCTAATACCCATGTCCTTCTTTCACAGGAGATGGAAAGAACAGTTCATATGTTTGAGACATTCCTATGAACTTCTCAAGATGAGTGGTTTATCCTCTCCAATCTGCTCCAGACAGAGCAGTCTTCTGAGCCATTCAATTCCAAATTGCACCAATTATGTGCAGAGCCTCGGTGTAAAGTGCTCTCTCACTCATTCTTCTCTCTGTTGAATTTGGTGCTATTGTCTCAGGTACCTGAAACCAACCAGCCTACAAGAACCAAACAGAACTTCAGAAACATGTTGTATTTTCCACAAATAAAAAATACAACCCCACAGCTTGGAGATTTTGGTGCTACAGAAACTGCTTTTGCTTCTGCTCTTTTTGTGCACTCTCTTTTGGAGACTCTATTATGGAGCAGACCAGCAACAGGAGGGACCTGGAAGGGGCAGTTCTAACTGTTTTGAATTGTTTAAACGTGGCAACCTGTTTTTTTGTTTGTTTTCCTCCTTTCTGTCCCTTATATCATTATTCCCCCTGCCCCCTGCCCTGGTAATGGACTGACACCTGTCATAGACTTGGTTATGGTGTATTCTGGTGGGAAACTGAAGAAACTGGGTGGAACTAGATTTGGCTCTTTAGAACTGCCTTTTATGTGCCTTTTTATTCATTTGAGGAAGATAAGGCTAAACAGATGGGCTCATTTGTAGCAAATTAGAATGTTTTTTGGTCACAACCTTGAGAATAAGTTTTAATACTCTGTCATGGAGAGACAACCAGTGTTTTGGTATTAAATGCCTGTCTTGTTCTCAAAGCTCAATCAAGATGCTCAGTATACCACATAATATGCTAAAATGGTAAGTTTCCTGTTGGATCTGTTTCTGTTTAAGAAACTTGTACTAAAAAAAAATAACAAATAATACAGTCCACACAAAACCCACATACTTTTCCATATTGCTGACAATGATGACCAGAAAATAAATAGATAGTGGCCATTCTTCTGTCAGAGGCAATTTAATAGTTATTCATGTTTGAGTTACCAGAGAAAAGTGATTTTCATGTGTAGTAAATTGTTATTGTTTTGTTTTAAAGCCAGGACTTGCCAAATAGACAGAAAAGAGAAGAATTTGTCAGAAGCTCCATAAAGTTTATTTTCTGTATAATTGCAAGTGAGCTCTGGTATGGTCCTTGAATAACAGTATTAACATTTAAATCCCTTCCCATAAGCTTACCTTCACAGCTCTTCGTTTTGATTGGAAACCATTTTGGATCTTGTTGAATGATTTCTATGAGATGTACTTACCTGAAATTAATTATGGGTTACTGGTTTTACAAAAACTTCCTGCAGATTTGGAGAGATAGTTGAGGCAGTTGCAAAGAGGCAAGGGGAGTGCAGTGACATTTTTTTATCAGATAATTTTTAAACAAAATATAGGAAATTTTGCAGACAAGTTGGCTTGCTATCTTCATTATTATAGCTTTTAGCTGCAGGTGTGTCTTTCCAATATATGCAACACATGTAGTTTGGGTTTTAGGGCACATGGTCTTGGACTACTACAGAGATATTGAGCTACCTCAGCTTTTTGTGTTTTAGTTACCAATAGTGTTTACAGAATCCTGTAATCACTTTGCCACCGTTTACATGCTGAAGCTAAGGTACTTGTCTCTTGTCTCTGGCTGTAGTGTGCAGAGAGCACACTGGCCTAGGCTACTGCAGTAACCCCAAGTGCTTCTTTGCATTTACCTTTACATTTCCTGCCTTCTGCTTCTACCTTCTTCTTCTTCTTTTTTTCCCAAATGTCACTAGTTTCCTTTATGCCTGGTCTATGAAGTTTCCATAATACTCAGTCATGTAATTCAAGATGCTACCCATGTAGACACACTGAATTTTTAAGGTGGGCAAGTGCGATTAACGATGAACCATTTTAAAGGGGAGGTTATTTGAAGCCTCTAATTTGATTATTGGGAGGATTTTCATGCTTTCTTTCGTATTTATTACCATCATACCAGTTCAAACTATTTTACTGTCTAATACATTAGCATTTTGTATTTTGATGGAAATTGTTACAGAATTTAAAGATTTGATGAAATAAGATGTAGCAGATTTTTTGTAGCAAGTTTCTGGTAAAAGGGTTTTTTGCAGGTCTCAGGTTCTTGCTGCACTATTTTCTTTTCTAATATTTATTCCAGTTACTCTAATTCAGAAGCATTCTGTTCAAGTAACAGCAGCACTTGTGAAAGGAAAAAAAAAACGCACATGTTCTTAGTAGGTTACTAAATTTGTACAAGTTAATTAAGATTTTAGCCATCAGTAAGTTTGAGAAGGGAAATTTATTTATGTGTATGGCATTAAAAATGCTTCCAAAAGATCAAGTTTTTGTTTTTGCTTATCCTGAATGTAGATGGAGAAATCAGAGACAACCTCAGTATAGGAACTGCCATTTTGAACAGTTTGGGTCTTCAAGAGAAAGCCAATCTCATGCCGAGGGGGGAAATGAAATGAAATTGTATCCACTCTTCTGCCCCCCAACAAAAAGAAAATTAACAATCTATACCAGTTTCACTTATTTTACAGATACTAATAGTTTAAAGCAGCTTGTGAAATTATCCAATTCAATTTTGTTTACCTTTCTGTAAAGTTATTTTTGCTGTATAGCATTGGCAAACATGTACAAATTGACCTCTGTTCTTATTTCCTATGTGAGCACTATAAATGATAAGCTCCTGTGTAAAACCTTGCTCTCAGTATCCAGTGCAGCATGGCAGTGGGTCGTGCTTCGCTGTGGGTCCCCTGGGAGCTTATGAAGATGCTGGAACTGCATTAGGGTTGAAACTGATGGCTGTGGAGTTAATTGTGTTTTTGAGCTTGAATCTTACCTGTGATTAATTTTTTAAACGTCCTTTTATGACTTGATTTTTTTTCATATGCCAATGTATTTGTAGGTTTACTGGATTTTGTTTTTTGGGAGTGGGGTGGTAATTTCTTATCTTCCCTTTTTTGATTAAGTTGGTTCAGCTATGGTGCTATTCAGTAGGTATCTTCAGTGTCAGGTCCCGTAGCTGAATGCCATTGTTATTATAATTATTATTTGTAATCATATTGTAAGCTTGAATTCGGTCTTGTACCTACATCTTTTGTATTTTGTACATTTGGTTACTTAGACTTTGGGAGTCCTATTTGGTTTCAGTCACATATGTCTACTTTGTAGATTAAGTAGACTTCATCAACTATGGTCTATTTTGGGTTTGTAGTTTAATTTAGGATTGTGTTAAATTGATGTTTTGCATTAGACTTCATTTTACATTAGTTTGAAGTAAATTATTTAATTTTTGAATTCTGGAATTTGAGCATTTACTGTAATTTGTAATATAACTGCTGTGAAATACTTGAATAAAGATGAGAAGAAAAACATGTCTTTCTGTGGCTTGACTATGTTCACTATTGGTATTGATGTTGATTCCTTTTTAGCCTTTGAATGTGTCTCAGTACCTTTTTCTTTTTAGCTGAGAAATTTTTTTCTGTTAAAGTGAGGTGTGTGTGTGTGTGTGTGCGCGTGCGCGCGTGCGCGCATGTTTGCGTGTATGTGTACGCACGTGTGCACACATGCTGATCCTGGGACTTGAACTCAGGATCTGGGTGCTGTTCCTGGGGCTTTTTTTTCCCTCTCTCAATAATAGTGCTCTACCACTTGAGCCATAGCTCCACTACCAGTTGTTATTTGGAAGTAAGAGTCTGGGCTTTCTGTGTGGGCTTGCTTTGAGCTATGATCCTCAGATCTCAGCCTCTTGAGTAGCTAGGATTAGATATATATCACCAATGCCTGGACAAGAAAGCGTAGTTTTAGTGTTCAGTTGAATACTGTTGAAAACATATTGAGCAGAAGCAAATGGCTTACCTCTAAAATTTGTTTTTCTATCTGAATATTTATATATAAAGACTTTATAATTACATTTGAGGCTTAATATTTTAGGACTTTGAAGATGTCCTAAAGTTGTTATTTATCCAGTTTTAGTTTCTATACATACAAACTACAGCAAAATCAAAGGTAAGTCTTGAAATGTGTATTTCATGTTATCATTGCACTCAACACCTGAAAAGTTGTCTATTGGCTATTTTAAAAGTACAGATTCTCTTTCTTACCCACTCATTTACGTTTGTTCTGTCCTGGGTGCTATTCATGCACAAGTGATACATTCCCAGTCCTTAAGTAGTTTCTCTTTTACTATGGGACATGGCAAGTTGAATAAGCACTGGCTACCTTAACATTATTTTCTGTTCCTTTAAGATATGAGCCTGGAATGTTGTAGTTTGCTTAGTTATTACAGTATAAGTCTCCAGTGCGAGGGGCTAAGCATTGGATTTTTTTTATTTGAGGTTTTTGAATATTTTTGTATTCCTCTTTCCTATTTTCCTCTCCCAATCAGATTTTACTTCCATTATTTGAGTATATTAGCTCTGAGAACTCAGCGGTAAAGTGTATTTTGGGATAGTTTTGCATTGAGAGTCCCTGTGGTCCACTGTAAAAGCACAGCTCTCTTCAGAATGCCTTAGGAGTCAGGAGTCAGCTGGAATCAGATTTTCTCCTTCCTTTGACTTAATGTTAACTCTTGGTACCAACTGTTCCCCAATACCTTTTGTTCCAGAAACAAAGCTTTTTGCATAGGGATTAGTGGTCAGGTCCAAAAGGTCTACTCATCAGAGGTCATAAGGCAGCCTGACTTCCTTATTGGAATTTTTCTTTGTTACTGTCTAGAATTTTTTCAGGTTGGGGTTAGATTGAGCAAGCAGCAAAACTCCTGGGAAAAGAAACTGTATAAACTGATCGTTTCTTCCTCACTCCCCAGGAAAGTAAAGAAAGGCTAGTTTGGAGGGGGGAAAAGTGGCAAAAGGCACTATTCACAATAGCCAAGATATGGAAACAGCCCAGATGCCCCACAGTAGATTAGTGAATCCAAAAAATGAGGTGCCTACACATCATGGAATTTTACACAGTCATTTTACACATATCATTTGCAGGGATATGGATGAAACTTAACAAATCATGTTAAGTGAGGTAAGCCAAGCTCAGATAAGAGCGTATGTTCTCCCTGATCTGCAGAAATTAGACCTAAGATGTGTTGGGTTATGATGAGTTACACAGGATTCTAGATACAAAAAGAGGATTCTAGACCAAAAGAGGATACTCTTAGGAGAGAAACAAAGGTGCAATGCTTAAGTGCCTCTTCATATTTATAGAAAATAATATACATACTGAAATGAACTCCAAGATAGGGAAGCAAGACTTTTTTTCAGGTTTTAGTTTCTGATGATTCTGTCTTCTTTATATGTGGTGTATTCAGGTGTACATCTTTGGAAGAGTTGGGAGTAGGGTACAGAACTAAGAGAAAAAGGGTGAAAGTGCGGCAGTGCTCACTGGACACTGATGACAGTGAACTCTCCAACTCTAGGTGGAGATGGGAGGAAGGGACTGGGGGAGGGAGGGAACAGAAGACACTGTATAAAAGGGAATGTACTCATTACCTAACTCATGTAATCCCTCTGTACGTCACCTCTATCATAAATTTTAAAAAATTTAAAAAGTGGCAAAAGCAGAAACAAGTTCAGTGTGTTTCTTTCATCGGTGATGCCTTTTATACATTTAACAGAACATCTAAATCTTTATCACTGGGCATAAACATAAGACCTTTTCTAAAAAAACTATAACAAAAAAGTGGGTGGAGCATGTCTTGCATGGTAGAGCTCAGTCTAGGAGGCACTAGACCCTAAGTTCAAACCCCAGTACCACAAAAATAAACTGGGGGTGGGGGAGGGTTATTCCTGGAAGAGGAAACTATAACAAAGACATAAGCAAGCAAATAGAGTTAAGTTTGGTAAACTTTGAGAAGTTCGGGTTTGTTTTAGGACAAAGCACACAAAAAATGTTAGGGTGTTAGAAGAGTTCTTGTGCCATTTCTGTGTGATGGGATCAAGTGAGATGCTGCAGAACCAAACTAGGGATGGTATATGATGACAGGGAAGATAGTTTGTGGAGACAAAATGAGTAGGACTCCTTGACTGGCTGTTGGTAATAAGAGGGGAAGGGCTGAAATAGCACTTAGCTTCTGCCTGGGTGGCCCAGTAGATCAGGAGCTTTACTTGAGAATGGACAGGAAGGAGGAATAAATCAGAATGAGCGCTGGTCCAGAAAATATTTAGATAAATAAACTATCTGAAACCTGGGAGAATTCAGAGCTGAAGGTTTTCAAAAGTAGCTGAATTTACGCCCCCCCCCTTTTTTTTAACCTTTTTTTTTCTTAGTAGTGGAGCTTGGACTCAGGCTATGGGTACTGTCCCTGAGACTTTGTGCTTAAATCTAGTATTCTACCATGTTGAAGCACAGTTCAATTTCTGGATTTCTGGTGATTAACTAGAGATAAGAGTCTCATGGACTTTTTACCCAGGTTGGCTTTAAACCTAGATCCTCAGATCTCAGGCTGCTGAGTAGCTAGGATTACCAGCGTTAGCCACCACCACCCAGCTTTTTGCTTTTGAGATGGAGTCTAGTGGATTTTCCTGCAGTCCTCCAGATCTCAGCCTCTTGAGTAGCAAAGATTACAGGTAAGACACACCTAGCTTTTAGATAAATACACTGTATGCATATATATGATTTTTGACTACTTGCATATTTTTTATATTAGAACTAACTTCCACATATGAGACAAAACATTCACCTTTGGTCTTTCTGGGCTATGAGAGAGACAGGAGAGAGAACGCTCATGCTTGTGCCAGTACTAAATCTTGGACACAGGTCTCCAACTCTTGTGTGGTGATTTTGCTTACTGCCAGTTCTCTACCATGTAAGCCACACCCATAGTCCAGCTTTATAACTAGTTAATTAGAGATGGTGTTAGACTTTTCTGCCTCAAATCTCAGCCTCCTAAGATTACAGATGTGAGCCACTGGTACCTGACAAAAGATTTTTTTAAATTAGCATATATTATTATTATTTGCCAGTCCTGGGGCTTGAACTCAGGGCCTGGATCCTGTCCCTGAGCTTTTGCACAAGGCTAGCATTCTACCACTTGAGCCACAGGGCCACTTCTGGCTTTTTCTGTTTATGTGGTACTGAGGAATCAAACCCAGGGCTTCATGCACACTAGGCAAGCTCTACCACTAAGCCACATTCCCAGCCCCAGCATATATTACTTGTACAAGGGGAATTTCATTGAGACATTCCCATACATGCACCCAATGCACCCCATCATCCTCAACCCTTCTCTCATTTCTCCCTGCCCCTGCTTTTTTGTCCCCATCCTGGAACTTGAACTCAGAGATGAAGTGCTGTTCCTGAACTCCTTTGTGCTCAAGGATAGTGCTCTAACACTTGAGCCATAGCTCTACTTCCCCATTTTCTTGGTAGTTTAGTGGAGATAAACTCTCACAGACTTTCCTGCCCAGACTTCCCAACATGACCCTCAGATATCAGACTCCTGAAGAGCTAGGATTACTGATGTGCACCACCAACTGACTACCACCTCCTTTCCTCTTTTCAAAACAGGTTTTATTCTCTTTTCATATGGGCATATGAAACATTTTGACCATATTCACCTCCCCCTCCTGCTAATTACTATAACCCCAGCAAAGCCTGTTTTATTTTCCCATCATTTTTTACTATAAATTGTACCAGGATCTTCACCATGTGCATGTGCTATATTTGAATTAGAATAACCGGTTGCTCTTCTCTCATCCCTCCTGTGTAACAGCGTTCAGTGAGGCTTCTTTTGCCATCTTCCTGCACAGACGCAATGCATTTTGATTTATACACTGTCATTCTCTTTCCCACTCCCCACTCAGTCCTATCCCTCCAGTTACAACAGATTTTACATGGGTAAATATATGTATATGTATGTATAGATAGATCTATACATATATGTATGTGTATATTATACATATATAGCTATAGTGTCTAGAACCCACTAATGAGCAGGGCAATGTGGTACTTTTTTTTAACTTGGCTTAGCTTGATCAGGGAGTGTGAGAATCAAGAATGATAGCCAACATTTACTGAAAAATGTACTAGATTCTAGACCCTTTTAGAAGGGTTTTATACGTATAATTTAATCTTCTGATTCCTATTACCTAAGTACTGTATTTCTCTTACTGCTAAGGTTAATTAACCATAGATAGTTACTTGCTGAAGGTGAGACAAATAATAAATAGCATAACCAGGATTTGAACCCTGGGTTTCTGATGTAGGTGTGTAGGTATTTTCCACTATTAGATTTCCTCCATAAGAGGATGGAGGTTGAAGATGGGAACGAGATGATGATTAAAGGGTCAGTCATCCAGAAGAGAGTAGGAGGAGAATTGATCTTGAATTAGAATAAGGATATTTGATTCTAATAAACTGGAAACTAAGATTTAGGCAGAGGGG